TATTTTTCTAGATGTGCATATTTCATGACTGCAATGGCAAAACTAACCAGTTGGAATCCATATCCCTGCAGTGGGAGAAAAACTAATGATTTAAACTATAGAAAGTTACAGATGTACAGAGCATATAACATAAAGATCACACTCACTCAGGGTTTTAGTAAATTAGAGGAGAGTTTTAGTGCCTTTTCAGTCCAACAAGAGAAATATGTGTGTGGACAAAGCCTACAGTGGGTTCTCTTTAATACATGTCCATCTGCCTATCAAGAAATTTGAAGTACCTGAAACTCTGTCTGAACACAATAAAAACCAATGGAAAAGAGAATAAGCCTTTTTTAAGACTTTGAGGGCATCAATTTTTGGTGTCAGAACTGGAACTTGTCTTTGTCCCCATTACCTCCCTCATTTCCATCCGTTGCTCCTGTGTGTTTGGCAACAGTACCTCTCTCTCCCACTAGATGGGAGTGCGATACTACTGATGATACGTAACAGCCATTCATCTCTGACCCAGCACAGTGGGTGCACTCAGCCAGGGCTCTAATTTTCCAACTCAGGCCAACCTTTCTCTAGCAGGGCATTTTAACAGCACGGTAATGACACTTAAACCTTATTGCACTGCATGGGATACTGTATCCTGTTAGGTCTTGAGGCCACTGCAAGTTGATGTTTACAGGAGCAGATTTATGATCAGAAGGTTGTTGGTTCAATTCTAGACTGGCAGGGTAAATCTGGGTGGGGGAGTGAATCAGGGGAAGTGACATTCCTTTATTACCTACTGTTAAGGTGCCCTTGCGCAAGGCATTACTGCCCATTTACTTTACCAAAATTCTCAACTTCAGGTCTAAATGAAGAGTGCTAAGATAAGATAATATAACAGTGGGAGAGACATCAAGGCCAACTTTACCTGAAGAGAAAAATACAAATATAAAACAAGTATAATACAAATATAAATAAAAATATTTGTGGATGAAATGAATATGCAGTGGCACAGAGTATGCAAAGCCTGAGATTGTGACAGCTGCAAGAGTCCAGTACTGATGACATTCATCTCATTTCTTTTTTCAAAGTAGAGCTGGTCCCATAATGTCACTTGCTGATGACTGGCGACATATGGCCGCATTACATGCCCCCCCGCCCACAACACTAATATACAAGCCATGTACACATGTTCCTGTGACACACTAAAAGTAGTGGGTGTGTCCCAGCATATGTCTGCTACTGGACGTTGCAGGCATCTGATCAGAACAGTTCGTGTGTGCCTTTCTGTGTCTGACATACTATATATTCAGAGTGCGACATATGCTTGGAAAATAGATGTCAGCAAGTGTTGGGCATGCATGTGAATGACGTATGTCCATGCATAGCCTACTGTGTTTACATGCCCCTGTTTTTCTCTATGTGTGCATGTGTGTGAATGTGTATGTCAAGAGCAAGCCTGTGTGTGATTGTAATCCGGACTGGGCAGCTGCGCTCATTCGTATTCAGCCCTAAGGCACTTCTAGGCCGTCTCGCTGATTAGGGATCAGAGACAGGCAGAGAGAGAAGAGGTAGAGAGTGAAGAAGAGAGAGAGGGTGAGAGACAAAGAGAGAGAATTGGAGACAAAGCAGGAGAGAGAGGTCCTCTCCCGTTTAGTAAACAGTTGGTTAATGACTCTAATCCCATTAAGCAGGGGGAGCAGCTTGCCCCCTCACATAACATACATTAATATGTATGTGTAAGTGTGTGTTTGTGATGTACATTCTCTCTCTCTTTCACACACATACACTATATATTATACTCAGGAAATTGATTTGCCCTCATAAACATTCGATAAAGTCCTAATGTAACTGTGAGCTGTTAAGGAGGCTCGGAGAGCAGACCTGTGAAAATGACATGTAAATCAAATGAGCGTTGTATATTTTCAGGCACGATTTGCCAACAATTATTGTTTTGACCTGGCTCCTCAGTTGACAAAAGAAACCTGCTCCCTCTGAGGAGCAGGAAATCAGCTTTTCAAGTGCTCTTGTGTTTGAAGAGTGGAGGGCAAGGCAAGGCGTGATTGCTGCACTCTGCAGAGAGGATCAGACATGGGGTGATTTCATACAAGCAGAGCGAAAGCAGTGAAGGCACTTAACTCAGTGTTTACTCTACTAACTTGTGCTGATCTGTAAAGAAAAATGATAAAGAAAACTCCCTCTCTTTCATATATTAAACAACTGATAAAAAATAATTCATCATAAAGCTTGTGCGTTTTACCTCATATGGTATATAATGTCTAAATGGCAAAATAAACAAGTGCCTAGTGCAGGAGTTGTTAACCCATCAGTTAATTAATCCATCTGAGCACATGAATACAATCGCGGATTATTTTGTCCATACAAGGACACTTTAGGAACGATATTCTTTCAAGGGGCCTGCATTTCATAGCTAAGTCGCAGCCATATTTCTTAACAGCATCACTCTCTCATTGTGATTAATTTTGCACTCTGCAGTCATTCAGTAGAGAAGCAGTTACGGCATCCTGGGAGCAGCTGTCGGGCAATGTTGAGCAATTACTTCTCGTCTAGCACAGAGAGAAGTAAGCAATATATAGCACAATATTGTATATGTCTGGCTGTGGCCTGAAGACATTAAGTCATATTATAATCCTCAAGACACATAAGTTTAGGCCTGGTCTGCAAGCCACTGCCGGGCTCTTTTCAACTGCTACTGGTGCTGATACTGTAGCGCAAAACACTTACACTCTATACTGTAGCCTCCAGAACAACCATTTACACCAGCACTTTTTCAATTATTCTCATACCCTAATTTTATAATCATATCAATCTTTTATCTCCCTATGTTTCCCCTTAATAATACTTAATTTGAGGTCAAATTAATAATAATAATACACTATTGTTTGATAGCTCGGACAAAAAAAATACTTAAAGATGCTGTGCTAACTCACTGTTGATGTTGTGCAAACTGTAAACTGTCCTGAGTTTAAAAACATCAACAGCTGGGAGGAAATTTTCTTCTAACTTCCTTCAAGGCAATAAAGCTTATATCATTATGTATATAATATCTAACATGAACATTTATATAATGAAGGTTATATGATACAGGGTTCACACGTTTAGGAGTTTGAGAATCCAATTTAAATAGTCAAATGGCTCTAAATGTAACTGTATTTATAGAACTATGGTTACATTGAACATGGACAACATAAACAGAGGATACAGACAGAGGATTTGTGTTCAAAAATCATATCCACCAGTTTGCTTCTTTCCTAAATATGTATATATTTAAATATTTGTCTCACACAATCAAGATAGATCTCCGAGTTAATTTTGTGGTAATGATTCCTCAGAACCTTGCTGCCAAAAAAGGGGCTAATTTCATGTTATTATTAGCACTCAATTAATTATGGTACCTCAGCATGCACCTAACCTAGAACCCATGTGACTATGATGGGATTCTATGTTAACTGGGCTTTCCATCAATAGGAAAGCTATATTCAACAAATAATTGTACTTGCAGGGTCTTCTTTTGAATGTAAGATTGAATGTTTAATCTATTTAAACCTACTACAATGATTTTTTTTACTGACTATGAAATGTAATATTAATTCCATATGACCCACATAAGTGCACCAGACCATCAGTGAGAGGATTTGCTATTTCTATTTAGTTATTCTTAATGCCTGCCACCGGGTTGGATTCCCCAATGTCAATGAAACAAGGTGTGGAAACAGCCAGAATCAACAACAAAAAATGAAGTTGTCTGTTGCTACTTTGATGTACTTAAACGCTGATTCAGTCATAACATGGTGACCATCTGGGCATGCTGGTGGTCATAATGTTATGCAGCCCCATTCACAATAAACTGTGATGCACTGTGTGTTCTGACACCCTTCTATCAGAACCAGCATTAACTTTTTC